GGAGGCCGCGGGGGGGTGCGGCGGGCCGCAGCGGGGCGTTCGGGAGGCCACGGCGGCGGCGGCAGCGCGGAAGGGAGGCAGCATTCGCTCCATAAGACGCACAGACATTTTCCCCCATCTTTTGGGGGTGAAAAAGTGCGTCTTATAGAGCGAAAAATACGGTAACTTATTTATAAAGAAAGACTTTGTTTAAAAACAAAGTAGCTTTTCCCTCAACCTTTCCTTTATATTTGAAAATGTTTTAATATAAAATCTTGAAATATATTCTCTTCTCATCATCTCAGGGGGATGTATTACATCCCTGATTGAGATTCTATTTCACACCGTCCTTTGTCTTGGGCATGTTATTAAAGCAAGCCTTGGATGAACGCAAAGATTATTACTCTGTATCTGTATGTCCAAAAGTTATTTATTAGATTCACAGTATTCCTCGATTTATGACTAGTTATTTAGTGACGGTTCCAAGTTATAACAAGTCTCCCCAGGACTACTTACGACCCAGATTTGAAGTAATGCTCAGATTACTTCCAGTTTTCAGCAAAGAATACTCATTGCGGACAATGGATTTGCATAATGACCATAGTGTTTGCTTATTTATTATTAAATTTGTATAACATCGATCTCACCACTGAGTGATTCTAGGTGGCTGCAGTAATACACTTACATCATTAAAAAGGTCGTAAAAAAATCAGGCAAAGTCAGATGGTGACCTTTTTAACAATCAACATGATGTAGATCGTAATTCCTAGCTCAGTCATAAATTGAGGACTACTTTATATAAAAGACTACTTCCATAGAAGACTACTTTCTTCAGAAGTTTAATTTTTGTCCACAGTTAAAACACTTTGAGATAGATTAGACTGGGAGTGGTTGTCTCAAAAACCACCCAGGGTTTTTCTGTAGCTAATGGTGAACTAGAAGTCAACATCTTCATCATTATATTAGTAGAGATTCCATGATGTACCCACAGTACACCATTTATCAGAGAAAAAGTTGATGGATCCAAAAAGATATGTGATATTGAAATTTAATTAAAGTATTCAAATATGAGCTCCTCTTTAGTGATAATATTCATTTCAATTTTAATTATCAAATCTCACAAAACTATAATGTTTAAATACATAGTTTTTCTGCTGATAAGATATTAATATGCACTAAAATTGGATGCATATATATTCATATTTTACAGTATATTATTTACTGCACAAAAAAGTATTATTTAAAATCTGACTTGAAGATATTAGCGTAGAGATCCCTATAGCACCTTGATGAAATTAAGCCAATGATATTCTTATAATAATTGAAAATACCTGATAGCCTCCCAAAAGTGCACATAGCCCTGTATCATAAATGTAATATACACACTGCAAATTAAAATCTATATTAAGCTTAGTTGTATCCAGCCTGTAAGAAGAAATAAGTGCAAATGGCAAAGGAAATAGATGTTTCCTCTGTGGTTTATGTAACAGCCAGGAAAAATGTTTTAGTTATGTAATGGTCCTCATAATGAAAAAATGGGAGAATATTGGTATAGGTAATGACTATTTTAATGGAAGTCCTGTAAAGATTCTCAAGAAAAAAACAACTGTTATCAACATTCTCTGACAAGTGAAAAAGTTAAAGATGTCCTCTGGTTGATCTAGATAGCCAATGGTTACATAGATATAACCATGTTGTTCACTTGGCAGCAACATAAAAATGTTTTGCCACTGCATTTTTCCAAGACATTCTTCAATTTTCCATCTAGCCTGATATTATCTGCTTATCTTCCATACCAGTCTAACCAGGGTTAATCCTATTTATATTTTAAGCCCAGACAAGATCAGCCAGATGCTGTCATCTGAGGCTGCCTGATAAGTGGAAGTTTGCAAAGTCAAATGTTGTAACCTTTAAATCCCATGAACCACCTTCAGCCATTTCAACCTCACTGGAAGTATTCTTTTATCAGAATGGATTATTCTGTTTAATTGACCCAATTTTGAAACATAGTCTTAACTGTAATGGGTAGCTTATGCTGTTGACAGTCCTTTTCCAAATTAAACCAATTCAATTACTAGTGGAACAGCCTTTTTCAGAGCAGTTCCAAAGAGTGCAGCAGGAAGGCATAATATTTAGTCCTCAAAACATTATGCACCCTTCGTTCAATAACCTTCACCCAGAAAGTGGGTGGTGGTACAAGCTAAGTCTTTTGACTTCTCACAACATTCAAGAATATCAATCAAATAGTTTTGCAGTTCTGTTACTTTCTCAGTGAACAATTATAGTATACAATATAAGGAGTAATATTTTCTGTTTCCATGAAGCTACTGGAAATACTGACTGGGAGTTATAGAAAGAGCTGTTGTTAATAAATAGATGACATTCAGCTTTTTTTCTATTGGAACTGAGTATAATGGCTGATTAACATCCTGAAATCTGTAATAGGGCAAGTAAGCATGAATACACTAAAATACAATCCAGGCAATTCAAAGCTATTTTTATTGTGCCCCCTGGAGAAATGTTTACACCTTACATGCTAAGAATTTTGTGATGCTTACAGATATATAATAGATTATAATTACGTGTCTGTAGCTCTGGATATTGCTTTCAATAATGTCACACTTTCAATTAAAAGAGGATGTTCATCAAGGGATATACCTAGCTTCTAAATTGAGAACAGAGTCTATCTTTTTTAATTGATGTGGTCTGGTTTGGAAATGTTAAAAAAAAATCTGTTTCTTATGAAACTTTTCAGGACATATATGCCAGACAACTGATCAATCCTCAACTTACAAAACTATTTTCTGGAACAAAAATGAAATATAGGAGTAAAATCACTTTATCCTCATGTTGTTTACCTCAAATTTAAAGACAGTCCAGAAAAACATAATTATTAATGGTATTAAAACCTACTTAAAAATCAAGACAAGTAAGAATTTGCTGTCCTCCTTGCTTGTCTCCCAATTTAATTCATTCATTGGGATAATCCGGACTAAAATTGGGTCTACAAGACTGAAATGTTTTTTTTGCTTTGGCAAAATTCAGAAACAAAAATCTGTGTCTTCCATCAAAGTCAAGATTATATCTTTCATTAACCCTAGATTTGTAGAATTTTCATCATCTGAGATTTATTAAATCCAACATAAATCAAATTCATTGATTTAAGAAGGTGGGCTTTTCGGACTTTTAATCCTTAGAAGATACTAGGATACACACGGAGCTGGATCCCATTGTCTCATTATTGATCTGTCTATTGTTTAAATTAGTATTTTTATGCTTCATTGTTCCCTGCCTAGATAAACAATAAATTGCAGAAAGAATGCCATTCAGTAGCACAAGGCTAGAAATAATCAATAGGAGAATTTAAACTATTTTCTTATGAAATAATAAAAGTAGCATTTCATGTAAAATGAATTCCTGATACAACTAAACAAATAAAACTTCATACACAGTCAAAAAGATACCGAAAACAAATTAAAATGTATTATAACCTGATATATACAAATTTACTACACTATCAATATATAGCACATGATTAATGTATCTTGGATAGTTACATTTAATCAAGGCATGCTTCAGTAGTTTGGAAAGTGAATGTAATCTCAGCAAATGTTAACTGATAAGATTATTATAACATGAAACATTAAAGGTTTTTTAAAATGAGGAGGTACCTTAGAACTTATTACCTTTCAGGCAGTGGTAATTGTTGCTTTGCTTGAATGGCTTTGATTAATTCATCAAAATATTCTGGCTTCATAATTGGTCGACCACAAATCAGTGCACATATTGTCTACAACAAAAGTGGGAAATTATAATAATAATTCATAGTGGTACAAAACATGTAATGTCTCTGATTTTAATTCAGGTTCTTCTGCCTATTACAAACCATTCTGCTTCTAAACTCTTGCACTATTGATTATATTTTAAACTGAGTTTCCCTTAGAAAAAAGAACAGAAGTCCTATAATAAATTCTACAATCACTATACAACAATTTCCACTGTTTTATTACTTCCTCCAGTCAGTATCTTAATTTTACAATACAGAATAGCAAATTCTGCTACAAAAGGATTCCCACCAATACAAATAGTTTAACAGCCACAATTGAGACTGGCAACTGAGTCATTAAACAAAGTGAGAAATCGTCACTGGGCTTATGGTCTTACATCACTGGGTTCCTGTGCTTTACGGTCATTTTTCATAATGTCATAACTGCAAAGAATTGCTAAACTAGGATGTTGCTTAAACAAGGACTATCTGTATTTTCAGTTGTCACTATTAAATTATGGGTTTTCTGGAAAAATTGAATTGGAAAATTTTCCAAACAAATTCTGAAAAATTTTGCTATGGAAACAAGTACGATTTGAATTAGAATACACATGGTTCTTGGGCTATATCTATAGTTGATTGAAATTATTAGTTGAAAATGCTGACTCAAGAAATTTTTGCAGTCAAGAAATTTTTGCAGTCAGCAACTCTGTTAACTACCTCATCCCAATCCCAAGGATGCTTTTTCATGAGGCAACTGGACTTCTTGTTTTTATTTATTTATTATTATTTAAATTTATATACCGCCCTATCTCCCTTAAGGGACTCAGGGCGGTGAACAGGCAATAATAAAAATCACAGTAAATATTACATAAAAGCCTGCTCTAAAATATAAAACCCCTAACAAAACCCAATCAAAACTACGCCAGGCCGGCCGCATGGAACAGATGAGTTTTCAGGGCTCTTTGAAGACGTTTTGCTAAGAAGCTTCTTCCTTCCATTCCCCCACCATCCAGTCAGAGCTGAAGAAGCTTCTTGGATGAGAAGCGAAACATCTTCAAAGAAAAACAAGAAAGTCCAGTTGCCTCATGAAAAAGCATCTTTGGGATTGGGATAAGATAGTTAACAGAGTTGCTGACAACAAACTTCTCAAGTCAGAATTTTCAGCTAATTAATTTCAACTAATAATTTTAGTCAACTAGGGACATAGCATCTTTGGGATAACTATGACCTGCATGACTGCAAATCTCCATAGACATATCTCAGTGGCAGCTATCCTTTTTACTCTATGCCAAAAATATTACATTCCTTTTCTCTTCCTTACTGCATTACTAGTTGTATGCTAAATAAATAAATAACTGCATTACTAGGCATCCAAGCCTGCATTCCTATGCACAGATGGACACATGGGACTCGTTTCCTAGAAAATTTGTGTAAGAGTGTGAATAAAACATTTTCCCTATCCAGCCTTCAATGCCTATTGCTGGGATGCCTCCAATTTCAAATCAAGAATTTAGGCCAGTAGGAAAAGAACAAAGACACAATATTACATGTAGAGAACATTTTCTCTAACACTGCTTTTAAAAATTATATCATGCTTGCGTATCACTCACCTTCACAGTAATTTTGACCAGAATCATAACAAGATGGGTACAATCTTCATTCCACTCATTTACTACATGGCCACCCAGCTGAAGAATATTTTTATTTAAAATATTTTTCTGTGAAACATCTAAGCATGAAGAACACACTACCAGTGGTTCATATTCCACTCTGCAAAGTACAAGAAAACAGAATATGATTATAAATAATGCCAAAAAGCTTACCATCTGTTAGGGGAAAATATATATAAGATATAAGGCAGGTGGGGCAATGAGACAACTGCTGATTGTTTCAGTTGCTCTGGTTAAATGAAAGACTTCACAAAAAAGCTGAGATTTGAAGAAGTGTCATTACAGTTCATCCATCCCCACCGAGATAATAGCAAACATATAGGGTATCCAGATACAAATGCTAGAATCTTGGAGAGCACAGTTATAAGACAAGACAAGACAAGACAAGACAAGACAAGATAACCTTTATTGTCATTTTTTTACTGTGGGCACAATGGCACAGTTTTGGATTAAGAAGATAATAAGTGGAAGAATTAATGTTCTAAGCAAGGACACATCAGGTTGGAGGAAAAAAAACTTGATGCTGGATTCACAAACAGAAAGGCAGTGAAAAATAAGATTTCAGAGGTTATAACGAGAGCAGAATAGCAGAAGATTCATTTGGCAACCTGCTATTCAAGAGATGTACAAGAGTCAAGGTAAGAAAGAAATATTTATCTCATTTTGGGTATCAACTGTAATGGGAGATAGATTTAAAAAGAGACCAGAACTTGGGTCAACAAGATAGAAAGAGTATGATTTCTGTGACTTTGAAAAGGGAGAAACAATATGACTTGATTGTAGGATGAACAAAGAAGATAGCAAAAAGAGAAAACTAACATAAAGCCAACATTCCATGATTAACATTATCAATGGATACAAAGCTGGATTTGGAAAAGAGGAAAAATTAGTCTTTCTAGGCCAATATTTCAAAGCTTAGTGAACCTGGCAATTGCAAAAATTCAGTAGCATTTTATTTTTCTCTTGTTGTCTCCTGCTCTTGCAGTTATTTGGCAATAAGATCTGCTGAATCTGTAGATATGCTTCTAAATTAACCTATGTAGTGTTACAATTTATATCTAATTAAAAAAGAATTGGAATACTGAATGTTTTTATCAACTAATTTCAGTCCTCTATAACAGGGGCCGGTACCAGTCTGTGGCCTATTGGTCACTGGGCCGTGGGAATGGCTGGCGAGTGCGCACATGTGTGCACATACCCTGCCCACTCACGCTAATGCAGCCACATGGGTGCTAGCAGCCCCATTTGTGCAAGTGTGGGACGCTAGCGGCATCGCCAGCATCAAGTGGGCACTAGCAGCCTGTTTGTGCGTGTGCACAGGCACTACCAACCCGTTTGTGCATGCGTGGGGCTCCAGCGCCACCAGCGCCATTGTGGTTGCGCGCAGCCTGCTTGTGCATACGTATGAGTGCTAGCACCATTGCTGTGCACGTGCCCATTTTGCGCAAGTGCATGCACACACGCACATACATTTCCCTGCTCCTCCCTCTCCCTCCAGGCCACCAATCTGGAAAGATTGGGGAGCTCTGCTCTATAAGCTTCAGTTATACGTTTGTTTTATATGTTTAATTCATCCATAACCACAATCTGTCATGTCTGAAATAGACAACAAACTCATAGATTCCCCCTTAACTGTTTCAAGATTAGCAGAAATCTATCATACCTGTACTTGCTTTCAAAAACTCCAAAAGTGATTCTGTCACCAGTATTTAATATTATGGTATTACCATTGTGTAGCTTTTCTCCATTAACAAAGGTACCATATTTTGAAGTGTCTTTTAAAGTTAATTCAGGAAATGATGAAGATTGACTCTGAAAGTACAATAAAGCTCATAGCATTTAACATTTCAAGGACAGCAAGCCTATTCATAATACCAGCTATACTCCCCCCTCTTTTTTTAAAAAAACCCACATCATTAAAATATCAAACTACTCAGTGTTAATATCAATGTGCTATAGGTTTTCATACAAGAGCCAGTTTGGTGTAGCGGTTAAGTTATCAGGCTAGAAACTGGGAGACCAACTTCCTGTTCCACATTAGGCACAAAGCCATCTGGGTGAACGTGGGCCAGTCACTTCTTCTCAGTCCTCAGAAGGAGGCAATGGCAAAACACTTCCAAAAGTCTTCCCAATAAAACTGCAGGAATTTTTTCAGGTAGTTTTCAAGAACTGAACATGATTGAATGAAAGGGAGGGAAAAACCTTCTACATACATATTAACATTTCTTTACCATAAAAATACTATTTTGTTGCTGGGGTCTTTGGTATTATTTGAGCTTGGCTGCTTTCTTGTAGACATTTCATTATCAAATTATTACCAAATTACTTTGGTAATGAAAAACTGTACAAAAAACCCACAACCAAGCTCAAAGAGCACCCAGGACCCCAAGTATCTCAATTGCTTTGTTTTTGAGAATGACACAATACATTGTATGCACAATAAACTAACAAATCATCCAAGTGAATCACAATTTATCTTTATTTCACTTAAAAAAAAATCTTGAAAATATGTAGATGATGAATAGGAACACTTTTTAATCAATACTATATACATCAGAAATAAGACAAGCATAATTAATCTTATCTGCTTCTAGTATTAACAGCCTTATCTTGCAACCATGTTAATCATCTAATATATAAAATGTTAAGGAATATATTTGAAATTTAAGCATAATCAACTAGAAAGATGGTTTGGATGAACCTCTAAAGTCTATTTTAGTGACTTAGCTCTTTGAGTTCCCTGTGCAGTTGCTAAAAATGGCACAATCCAGCTTGCCTTCAACTAATAAATTATTGTTTTGTTACTTAAATTGAGGTTTAGTTATGGTATTTTCCAAACAAATCAGGATATTAAATAATGGCTTGGAATGGGTTTGTTTGGACCAACCAGTTCAGAGGTAATAAGAGACTATAATTAATTTAAAAGTGAAATACTTCTAATCATAAAGCCAAAGTGAAAGCTTATATTTTATGTCCAGGTAGAGTTTTATTTGAAGATATTTCAATAAAAAACTTTTCTGAGCAATGCAGCTTGATTGATGAGATACAACGAATCATATTCATCTGCAACAAGCTATCAGAATATTATTATTTAAATGACACAGATTACATAATTTCTGTCAGTGGCTTCATATCCAAATTACATAACTGGAATATTTGCTATAATGACATCAGGATGCATTTAATACTATTTGTACCAAGTCAACAAATGTTCAATTAAAGAACATGTTTTGATACAGCAGGCAGTTAGCAGAAAATTTATGAATGTGATACTTACAAGGTTCACCTGGGGATGATTAACTGAAAGAACTGCATGACTTCGACTGATTGACTGATCATTTTGAATTAAAATTCCACAATTCTTTCGTCCAACAACATACTCAACACCAACTAAAAACCGATATAACTGTCCTGAAGTTAAAGGAAATGTTAGTTTCAATAATGGTCATAAGCAAGAAAAAGCATTATCATTCATTGTAAAAATGTACAGTGTGAAATTATGAAAAGTTTGAAACTAAATAAATAAGAAAGGCAATTTTTAGAGTGTCACTGAATATGCATATACTGTATTTGTGAACTATAGTTTGATATGTCATGTAATAAGACTGTAATGAAAGGTTCAGTTATTGAAACTGTTGTATCTAATTGTTTTATATGTTTCTTATAAACCATTTTGAAGCATACAATAATAAACTGTACCTAATTAACAATACCTTAAAACATAAAAACAAATGTAACGTATTCATTTTAAAAATGATGGAGATAAAAATGATATAGGAAACATCTCAGAGGGGAGAACATTCCAGAACACTGGTGAAAATATGGAAGGTGTTCCTGCAAGCAGCTGCCAGATTCACTGAATCTTAGGACCTGGAGCAGGAGTTTCCCATAGAAACTCAGGGAGTCACCAAGTCTATAACTGCAAAGGTAATCTGACTGCCATCTTGGTCCCAAGTTGGTGAGGCTTTGTATGTCATAATTCAAACTCTGAACATCAATAGCTAACTAGTGACCAGTGGAGTGTCAAAGGTGTAACATGAATATAGCCTAGCAGCCACTGCACTCTGTGCTGGTTGCAGATTCCTGGCCAAGCACAAGTGTAGCCTTGCAAGATAGATACATAAGATCAATGTGAAATTACTAGCAGGAGAACAAATGCAACTAGGCTTTCCCTGCCCAGGAAAGGGCAGAATAAACCAAAGCTATCAATGGGCACTTTAGTTTTAGTGGCTGTATAGATCTTCAGTGACAATGATGATTTTAGGAGGCAGCCCAAACAACAGCTCTCTTCTTTCTGAATTATTTTTTCAAACTCATAAATAAAATTTATCCTGAGGATTATTTTCAATCTTTTTTCTCTACCACCTTTGAAAGAACAAATACCCACTAGCAGCATTATTCTAGTTTAATAAGCTTATAGGTGAATTAGTCTTTTGTATATGCAACCATTTTGCTCTTTTTTTGTGTATAAGTGGGGGGGGGGAGTAGGAAACTACTGTTAGCTCTGCATAGTAAATAAAGTCAAGTTTGACTCCTGGTAACTTTATGGAGAAATACATGCTTTTGAAAATAATATGGAAGTGATTTTTCACTGATGTCTGGGATTGGTGGTGGGGATTTCCCAGTTTATCTTTCACCTACTGGTCTTCCATCCAAGTACCAATTAAATACTTAACTTTTTGAGATCAGTCAAGTTCATTTAGGTGCTACTGCCTAGCTGGGTGAGCCACAAATTAGCAACCACACTTCAGCCTAGCACAGTTATGGCGAACCTTTTAGAGACCGAGTGCCCAAACTGCAACCCAAAACCTACTTATGCATCGTCTGGTGCCAGTTGGGTGTGGCCCATTGGGTGGGTGTGGCTGCGGTGGTAACGGCAGACTGGGTGGGACTAAAAAGTTCAATCAATCAATTCCAATTTTGCAAGATCTTTTTTTTCCTGCAAGAAGTTGAAATTGACTGATTGATTGAACCTTTTTTTTTTGTAAATGGCGGCAGAGGCCTAAAGTGAAAAGGTTTTATAAAACCCAGCTGAAGGCATAGGACTGGGGCGACGGCACGCGTGCCCACAGAGAGGGCTCTGAGTGCCTCCTCTGGCACCCGTGCCATAGGTGCGCCACTTACTGGCCTAGCACTTTCTGCAAGCTCATCTTATTTCTCTTAAGACTAATGGATGGATTACTGGACAGTTTTTAGGAAATGGTCATACTCAACGTTAACCAATGCAAAAACAAACAAATCTGGTAATAGCAACATCAATGGGGATACATTTCATGTGCCCCAAATTCTATGTTCCTGTCTTCAAAGTGACAACCACTAACAGTTTATTTTGCACTGCCAAATAAATACTTAATCACTTACAGTGATTTCACTGGGGGATCATAATCCAATATCATAAACTTAAACTGAAATTTCTTTCATGGCTAACTACTCCAACTACTCCAACAATGTAAGATCCTCTATATCAGGGGTGTCAAACTGCCGGTGTCATCTGGAAGCTTCACCCATCCCATTGCCGGCAATGGCAAAACCGTCCCGATACGTTGCATGACGTCACAAGTTTGACATGTCTGCTCTATATCATATTCTCCACTTCTGAGTGACCAGATCCAGATCATTTTTAAAATTCTTCATTATTTTCCGAAAAGTTGGCACATATATTTGTTTTTCACATACTCCAAAGCCATGATCAAGAGGGCTGCAATCCGTGGTTTCAAAATCTATTTGATTTGCTGTCTTTACTTACACGTTACTCTGATCTTAAATTGGCTAGTGCAGTTTCTTCATCCAGCAAATTTGCTAAATTCATCTAGGTAGAGTAGGGGTCCCCAACCCCGATCCATGGACCAACCCCGGTCCGCAGCATGCCAGAAACCAGTCATTGCAAACAAGGGAAGCCCCATAAAACTCTCTCCATTGAACTGGTCCCTGATGCCCAAAAGGTGGGGACCTCTGAGGTAAGAGTGTTTCATGCATGTTGCGTCCTGGTTGGGGAATTCTAGGAGTTGAAGTCCATAGCAGTGTTTTTCAACCTTGACAATAAGATGAGTGGACTTCAACTCCCAGAATTCTGGGAATTAAAGTCCATCCATCTTAAAGTTGATAAGGCTGAGAAACACTGCTACAGCATAAAGTTGATAAAGCTGAGGTATCTGGTGCGATGAACTAAATAACACGGAAAGCAGCAGGGTAAACAGGCACCAAGCCGGAGGAAGTCCACATATGAAAACACACTCTCTCCCTTTTTTAGAGTCATGCGACTTTCCCTTTTCTTGCATCGCGAGGATGGTCCGGAGTGTTGCAACCTAGACTTATTCGCTTTACCCCTCCCTTCCCATCCACCCGCTTCAGTGTTCTTGCTTACCTCCTCCGGTCTCATCGGCCGGGCACAATTTCCACATCCTAACCCTAGAGAAGAATCGAGGGTGCCGCTTCTCCCGAATCAAAAAAAGGGGGCCCCGCGCCCTTCGCCCTCAGCCCGGGAATCAGAAAAGAACAGTGCGCCTGCGCGCAGCCCATCTCTAGGTTGGGAAAAACCCGGAAAGAGCCATCAGCGCCATCTAGGGGCAGCGAGAGGAAAAGCTTTCTTACCGTGCCAGGAACGTGACTTGTCATTGGTTAAAAAAAAAAGGATTTCCCGGGAAAAAAGGCAAACCAGTGAAAAAGTAAAGCTCTACAACGACGTTCCTTTGAGGAGTCGAAGCAGACTTGAGGAAGTTTATTATTTTGGGGTTAGTTTATTATTTTTTGTTATTTTTATTTTATTTATTTTTTGGCTAGTTTATTCCGTTTTTTTGTATTGTTTTTTGTTTTTTAAATATTTTAACAATCGTAAACCGGCCTTTATCTGAGTGCTGAGAATGCGAATCTGCACGTCAAGTTTACAAATTTGCGCTTGGCGATAGGCGGGGACTTTGCTCAACGCGGTGATAATTGCACAAAAAGTTAAGCGAAGTATTAGTCATCCTAGCAAGTTTTGCCTTTGGAAAGGGGCGTGGCTTGCTGTTCTCCGCAAAGGATTGGTGGGCGGGGCTTCCTGCCAAGCCTGGGTTCCATCCGCGCCGTCTAGAGGCGAGGCGTGTCCGAAGCTCCACTGTAAAGGGGGAAAGATGGCGATGAGTGTGTTCGCTCGGTTCGGCTCGCAGACTTTATTTGCTCCGTGGCTTTATTCGGCAACTGGGCGGGTGAGAAGCTCAAAACCTCTTCTGCTACTTCGGGCACCGTTTCAGCTCTCTGAGGGAGGCGGTGATTTTATAGTTGCCCTGAGCGTTTTATTTCCCCCATAAAAGAGACCTTGGAAGCGCAGTGCGGTGGCAGAAGTGAAAGATACACCGTTTCTGGAATAATAATAAGTTAGATTTTGTCCCCCGAAACTGTTGCTATTAACTAGTAATAATTAAACCCCCGAAACTATTAGTATTATTAACTAGTAATAGTTAAAACCAAAAGTTTAACTATTACTAACTCATGACTTTCAAGGAAGCGTTCAGCACGTAACCTCAGTCTTCTATATATATAATAGTACTTTTTATCGGTGAGTTTTTAAAAGAACTGTTCTCTAATTGTTGCCTCTAATTTTTGACCGTGAGGAATGCAATAAACCAGTTCGGTCGCCATCTATATAGCCTCTCTGTTAAGACAGAAAGTTGCCCGGGGTTTACCATCGTGGAGGTAATCTATACTTTATATGGGGTGTACGGGGTATACACCCCATTATAGCATATACCCCATTATAACATATATCCCATTGCAATTCCTTGGCTCCATATTAAAGCCATATTATTATGGCTTTATCTTAATTGAATATATTATGTCCTATATTGAGTGTGTGTGTGTGTGTGTGTGTCATATATACATGCATGACCTCTGCTAAATAGTCCTGCCAAACTTTGTTGGAAGGCAAGATCTGGCCGACTTTTCTTTGCTATAAATTGCCTAAAAATGTTGTGGTTGTTTTAGTAATATTTCTTATTAATACACCTACAACAAATTCTTAAGAGTTTAGTTGGGTGTTTTTTTAAAGGTTTGAACTTTAGCTGGGCACTAGTTCGAAAATATTTGCTGCTGTTGCTCAAATTAGCTCCTGCTGGATTCCTTTGTAAAATGTGTGTAACTTTTACCATTTTTTAAGCTTGCTGATAACCTTTATCCTAGAGAGCATAGTGCTCTTGTTATCCCCTTAGCAGCCTAGAATCTTTTTTTTCCCAATTTATTCAATTTCTCATATAGTTTTTTTCTTTACAACTTTGTTTTTTTATTCTTCTATTTATATTTATGTTGCATTTAAGTGGTACAGTAATCTATAAATACAGATATGGTAATACTAATAAATGTCTTTTAATTACAGGAGTTCAAATAAAACAAATAGCAACACATGTATTATGTTACTGAATCACTTAATAGATAAAAATATCTTGTGGAGCTGTTTTACTGGGAATTTTGCACATAAATGCAGCTCATATTATGGGTAATGCTATTTCCCAACCAAAAGAAGCAGCTTGCTAATAACTTGAAACTCCTGTGTAAATTTTTTAACATATGGATGATTTGCCTAGTTTTTAGATGAACTACTGTAATTTATTTGTAATGATATTTATATTCTAATTCACCCATCATAATCCTCTTTCAACATCAATGGTAGTCTTAATCTACATTTACCCATTTTTCTCAAGTTAATGGTTTCAGGAACAGCAGCACAGTTGGGCCAATATGTACAAAGTTCAAATTGCAGGTTGCTCAAACTATCCAATTTCTTGTGACACTATCCCAGCTTTTTTAAAAAAATACTGAGATTTGTAATCTTTTCCTTATTCACTTCCAAATTAACACTTAAGCAGAATAGAATTTGATGCAATGCTTTTTTGTAATCACTGGCTACTTCTTTTTTTAAAACAAAAGTTATTCTTTTATCACCAAAGATAAAATACAAAACAAAGAAAAGGGGAAAAAAGAAACAAACTAACAACTATCCAATAACTAGCAACAAAAAGAAAAAAACTTCTGTGCAAAAGAAAAATAGCCCAAATATCAATTACATCTACATTAAAAAAGACAAAATCCACCGCTGCTAAATGCTGAAAGACATATCAAAAGTCTAATATATTCCCTTCCCTATATAACAGCTCTAGAACTAGTTATAAACTTTTCCATTGTATTTAACAAAAATACTATATTACATAAATATCCCTGATGTGGAAATCTATTTGTTTAATAATCAAATTGACCCAACATCAATAGTCAACAGGTTACCCCAAAGTTAAAACTAATCTTCAAATCCCTCTGTTAACCATCTGTCATTGTATTTAACCTGTAGAAAATCCACAAACGGCTCCCAGTCTCTTATAAATTTGTCTAATCTGTTGTCTCTAATCAGAACAGTTAATTTTGCCATCTCTGCTAATTCAGTCAATCCCACTCTTTAACAGTGTCTCCTTTTTCTTCCAATACTTAGCATATATAAGGCTTACAGCAGTCACCATGGAAAGAAATAAAGTTCCAAACTGTTTTTCAATTAGTTTGTCCATAATACCTAAAAGAAAAGTTTCAGTTTTCATTAATATTTGTATTCTGAATATTTTCTGCATTATCAATATTACATTTATCCAATATGATTTAGCATACTTACAAGACCACCACATATGATAGAATGTACCTGGATTTTGATTGCATTTCCAAAACTATCAGTCTGTCTAGACTCAAATACCAATGGTACATCATCTTTAAAAAAAAAAATCTTTCAAACTATAATTCAAAGTAAATTTTAAACCATTGGTCCATACATTCTCCCATCGGTCTAGCATTATGTTGTAGCAAAACTTTTTGCCTATTTTACCGTACAATTTAACAAATTCATCTTCCAGATTCATCTTAAAAAACATTTTATAAATTTTAGCAATTTTTAATTCCTGCAAATACAAAAATTTAATCTTTCAAAGATCATATAATAATTAAGCCAATCACAAACAAATCTTTCACTTACTAATTGTTCCCTTGCTTTTATCTTCTTTTTATCTTCTTCAAATATCAGTAGATCTCGATATATCATTAGAATTAGAATTTTCATTAATGAGAATCACCCCCAAATATTTTATCTGTTTCATAACTTTAATCCAATTTTAAATTCCATTTTCTCTGTTCTTCTGCATTCATATTCTTAGTCAATATTGTCGTCTTTAATTTATTTCTTTTTAAACCCGCCATTTCTCCAAATATTTTAATCTTTCTCATAATGTATTCAATGTTCTCTATCAGGTCTTGCAAAATCAAAATCAAGTCATCAGCAAAAGCACAAAGTTTGTACTTATGTGCTTTACTTTGTAATCCTTTTACTCTGTCATCTTATCTAATGTCCCTATTTAGCAGTTCCAGTGGATAAATAATAAGGGGGATAAAAGACACCCCTGTCTTGTTCTTTCGGGATTTCACATGGTTTTGTCAAATCTCAATTCACCATAATCCATGCTTTCTGGAGTTTATAAATGGACTTCAATCTCTGTAAAAAGCCCAATCCAAAGTCCATTTTTGACTACTTTAACATAAAGTTCTAATTCAAATTATCAAAAGCTTTTTCTGCATCTAAGAAGATTAGATTAAAAGATTAAAACAGGCAACCTGTTAGTCACTATGATGTTGTAAATGTTCAATTAAAGGAAGATTACTCCCACATTGTCTTTTAATTGTCTTTTGGGTAGAAAACTACATTGGTCTTCATGTATGTAATCTCAAAAAAAAATTAAAGTCTTTCAGCTAAAATGGATGTAAACAGTTTATAGTCATAGTTAAGAGAAATTGGTCTGTACCAATTAAGAAGTCCCTCCTTAGGTATCAAAGAAGTGTAGGCATTTTTCCATGAATCAGACATAGAATTTCCTTGTAGAATAGAGTTTATTAAGTCCTTCATTGGAAGACGTAACTGGTTGAAACAGTCAACAAGGAAATTTGCTGCTGTAGTAGTTTTAATTGGTTAAGTATGTTAAGATTTTCTGGTGATTTTTGAAGTTTCTTTCAGTTTAATTTCATCTATACAATGCTTCCAAAGAAAGAGTTATAAGAAAAATGGGAGAATTTAATGTTAAAACTTTATGGAAGTATTTCAAAGTTACATGTTATGTCACAAGAGATGAATGAAAAATTAGACAATTATATATTATATATTTTAAATATATATATATTAGACTGGATAAGACAAATACAAAATTAGATTTTATTGGACTCAAATTTATTATTAGATTTGAAAGGGAAAAAAATTCTAAGACTTAAAAAGATGCCAGAAAATTTGGAGAAAGGCACAAATTTAAAAGATGCAATTGTAACAAATTTTCAAATGGTTTAACAATGATAAATTAGATTTTTCTGAGGAAATTGATAAAATTTACAGAATAAATTTAGTATATGCAGCCAGAAGATAATTGCCAAGAGATGTCATGATTCAATTTATAAGAAAAGCTACCGGTATTAAAGAGCAAATGATGCAGAGACATTACCAACAAAGATTCAACATCCTTGGAAAGAAGTGCAAATATTCAGAGAAATTCCAATTACAAGGAAACACAAAGAATACTTCTTCCTAACAGATATTTTAAAGCAAGATAGCATTCCCTTTCATTGGGACAAACTGGAAGGGATTATTTTTACCTTTAAAAATCAATGTTTTAAACTAAATTCAGTACCCAAAATGCAAGATTTTCTGGAAAGATAACAGATCGAAACTGCACAATTTCTCAAAAGATAAAGATCAATTAACATAAGAATTGGGTCTTAAAAGATAAAAAAATTCTAGGCTGCTAAGAAGATAATAAGAATACTATGCTCTCTAGGAAAGACATGTCAAATACAAGGCCCAGGGGCTGGATGCGGCCTGCGAAGTGGTTTCTTGTGGCCCGCGAAGCCATCCTGAAAACAGTGAGGGAACGGCCCCCGCAGCCTTGGCCCTGGCCCAGGCCGGCCAGGAGGGAGCCAATGTATAATTTTGTGGTGGCCATCTATGCTGAAACATATTCAATCTTAGCTCCACAAGGCCATCTGGAACCAGCGAGGAACCAGCCCCTGCCGCATTGGTCCCGCCCCCTGGGTGCATGCTGGGGAGGTGTCACCCTTTGTGAGGAATGAAAAAATGCACCATCACCTGGAAGTGGCCAGCAAATGGCCCTCGCCTACTTCACATATCCGGCTTGATGGGCTCTGGGGGAGGGGTTTCGACAGGCAGCAGGGCGCTCTCCTCACAGCGCCGAGAGGCTGAGCCGGGTGGCGCAAATCCAAAAAGAAGTGCAACGCCGCCCAGCCCCCAGCCTGCCCGGTACTAAGGAAGGAAGGAAGGAAGGAAGGAAGGAAGGAAGGAAGGATCTGAGGGAAGTCCTGCCTTAGTCCTGCCCTGCTGCCCTTTCACCATCCCCTTGCCCCCTCCTCCTGGCCTATCCTGGGGGTCTCCCATCCTATTGCTAAGGAAGCTTTGGATACAAAGCTGGGTCTCCTCCCATGAAAGGGAATGGGCCTCCCTCTGACTTTGCCCTCGTACCCATCATGAGCAACCTGGCTAAGGAGAGCAACCACAGCAGTAGCAGCTGGGCACCCCCTTGGGGAAGTGGGGCTGGGCTTGGTGCCGCGGGTGCTCGAAGGCCGGGCTGGGTATTTGACCTCTGCTGCCCAGGGCTCCGGGCAGCCCGTACCACCATCCAGCCCCCCCACATGGCCTGAGAGGAACAGTGAGGCTCCTCCAGTGGACCATGCCTTGGCACTTGCCCTGGTCCTACCCCCTTCTGCCAGAGACCCTCAGATCTGTTCCACTCCTGCCCAGGCTCCCACAGGCACCCTGGACGGTAACGATGTAGAGCTGGCCACACCTACTCCATCCACGCCCACCCAGTAGGCCGCACCCACCCTGGCGACTATCCACCCGGCCCTCCGAGGGCAACCGCAATGCTGATGCGGCCCTCAATGAAATTGAGTTTGACATCCCTGTTCTAGGATAAAGGTTATCCGCAAGCTTAAAAAATGGTAAAAGTTACACAAGTTTTACAAAAGAATCCCAGCAGGAGCTAATTTGAGCAACAGCAGCAAATATTTTTGAACTAGTGCCCAGACAAAGTTTTAAAAAACACCCACTAAACTCTTAAGAATTAGTTGTAGGTGTATTAATAAGAAATATTACTAAAACAACCACAACATTTTTAGGCAATTTATAGCAAAGAAGAGTCGGCCATATCTTCCCTTCCAACAAAGTTTGGCAGGACTTTCTGTCTTTTAAGAACTACGTTGTGGTTCTGTTATAATGGTAATGATACAAAGCATCTTCCAGAAATATATAATATATGTAAATAAACCATTCAGATTAAGGATCACCAATATAGGAATGGAATTTTCTGGACAGTATCCATGTCCCTCTGCAGAACTGGAGCATAATGTTTTGGGGGCAATTGACATTGTCAGAATTACATCATCTAAAGAAAAAAACAATGAAAGGACATTGTTCTGGTGCATGTCAGGAGCATCGGATCAATTATGAGCTGAAATCTTACTTTGCCAGGTAATGTTTGTTTAGTTATGACTCAGTTTATTGTGTGAATCCAGTTTTATTTTATATAACATACTCTTTTGTAAACCAATACTGATTTATTTACTAGACACAGTTAATCAAATCATGCCTTAAAGTAATGAGTGAAATAAGTGGCAGGCTTTACATACTGTAAAATGTTTTTGTAAGGATCATGGCAACATCAAGACATGTAAAGCAGAATACTTGAAAACATTTGTACACATTGTCACTTACTATTATTGACTGTAGCAGCTGCCTTGATGCAATTGTTACAGTTGAGAAATATCTCTAGGTTAAAAGGATCCTTTTTCTTTTCCAGCGTTTCACCCATGGAACAAACGTACTATGTCAAACTAAGAGTCCTCAAGGCGGCTTCTTTTCACCACTTCAGAAAGTGATGCTATCACCAGATGCTTTTCATGGGAAAGTGGCCTTTATCACAGGCGGCGGTACAGGCCTTGGAAAAGGGATGACCAATGCGCTGTCTAATCTGGGAGCAGAATGTGTTATAGCAAGCCGGTAAAAACAAATAAAACTTATTACAGCTCCATGTTCTCTTTATTCCCACTAATCCTAGTTGGATGATAAATGCAAAGTGTTTCTTGCTGGATAAACCCCTCTTTGCTTTGTTTAATGTTGTATACTGGATGAGGCACAACAGTGACAGACTTTTGCTGCAAGGGCAGAAAAACTCCCAAGAGCATGTTTGCTTCTTCATTTTCTAGGGAAATCCATAAATTCTCAGAGCATCTAAAATAGTAGTAGCAATAATTCTTAGATTTAAATACCACTTCACAGTGCTTTGCAGCCCTCTCTGAGTGGTTTACAGAGTCAGCATATGGCCCCCAACAATCTGGGTCCTCATTTTACTGACCTCGGAAGGATAGAAAACTGAGTCAAACTTGAGCCGGTGAGACTCGAACTGCTGGCGGTCAGCAGAATTAGCCTGCACAACTGCGTTCTAACCATTGCACCACCATGGCTCTGATGGATACCTGTAGTATCCTAAAGACCCTAAGATTGAGCTCTGAGTCCCTTTAGTGCAGGGGTGTCAAACTCGCAACGTCACGTGACGTGTCACGACGTATCACGACTTTTTCCCCACTGCCGGAGCTGGGTGGCATCCGGCCTGTGGGCCGGCAGTTTGACACCCCTGCTTTAGTGCATCAGTTTGCTGATAGTATAGATAATAGTAACCATTATATAAGGAACAATATGAAGAATCTGTAACCACATTTTCAAAAGCATATAACACTATATATATAGTATATTTTTGTAGTTGTCAAATATTTTACAAGGTATGTAGTTATGTAAGTTATTGAGCAGCATGGTGGCCTAGTGATGAAGATGCTTGCCTCCTATTCAGAAGGCTGAAAGTTCAATCCTTGATGTAATGGCAGGTATTTCTCTTCTAGGCTGCCAAGAAAAAATATTTGCTGCAAACTCGGTGTGGCATTTGGCCAGTAAATGCTCAGCTCCATCCAGTAGCTCCAACTCTACCCCAAATTAAGGGATTATAGGGTCATAAAAAGGGAGTTTTTATTGTTATGTAACCTATAGGAACTCAGTCTTATTTATAACTGCAGGAATCTTGATGTATTGAATCAAACAGCAGAAGAAATATCTTCCAAAACTGGAAATAAGGTATTTAAAATTGTTATTAATATCAATGCACAACATCTGAATCTAGTAGTTTAAATTTTATTTAAATTTAAATTATATTTTAAATTTATTTTATTTTATTTTATTTTTGCTGCTAGTGGTTATGTAATTATTTTACTTTATTGCCAGATTCATGCAATTCAATGTGATGTGAGAGATCCAGAGTCTGTTACCAATGCAATCAGTCGATTAATTGATGTGGCTGGGCATCCTGATGTAAGTAATTAAAAAATTTGATTTATTATTCCTGGAAAAATAGTGTAAGATGTAACAAAAAAGAATGTCATATAAGTAAACTAGTCAAACAAAAGGCAATATACGTTGCCTTTTATTGTAATTTAAAAAGTAAGATTAACTATCATATATATGTATACTAATTGATCATACCCATAAAGACCCATCCGGTGAAATAGGCCATAATATAATATAAGGTAAGCAAATCAGAATCTTGTGAAAAATAATTTATCAAAAAACTAACCCAGTAGATTCAGGAATTGCTCCTTGTCTCTTAATTAAATATTTCTCCAGTAGAAATGTTGACTTGCACTGTGAGCATGCTTTCGATAATGTAGAGCATTTTCCATATTGACAGAATTTTCTGCAAATTGTTTTGGGCAAAATTCTAGTGTAGTTTGTTTATATCAAGTTTAATTTCTGGAATGAAAGTCATATGATCTTGGAGTGACATGTCAGGATTTGTAGTTCAAAATCTTGATCTAATGACAAAAACTAATTTTGATTGATATTCTGAGAGATTGTAGTGTTTGGCTACACAAACCTTTTCCTCCCTTCCATTCCACATCTAGTTCAGGACTTTGCAGTCTCTTGTTTTGGGGTCCTCTTTGGAATATTGTACCTCTTCCCTGGGAAGCCGTGATACTATTGCCGGCATTCCCTTCCACTCCTTCTCCAGCTGCACATTCCATCACATCAAGGTTGAGAAACACTGGAGTAAGCAATAGTGGTTGACTTGCATGGATTACTTTATTATTAACGTCGTTGCTACTTGCCAGTTAGCAAATTTAGACACAGCCATGAGAAAAGTACGCACCATTCATTTTTTTTTATTTTGTTAACCTCTTGCAACATACAGATACTTGATTTTTATTACAACAATAGTGATAGATGTAACAAACAAACATCATTTACATTTTATAGTCCATTGTGTAATTCAAGTAAATCTCAATGCAAATTTTTTTATGTGGAAAATGCAAGTACCTTCCCATATTCATCACTATCTCAAATACCTAAAATTAGAATCAGGCGCACCAGGTCTGGTCCACAGGATTAGAACATCATTAGAGTGGATCTGGGAGGACTGTATTATTTAAACCTCAGAAATTTAGTTTGATTTGTTCTTTATTATTGATGAATGTGATATCACACCTAAATTGAAAGAGGATATGAGGATTTTAAAGCAGGGTTATTCAAACTTGGCCCTTTTATGACTTGTGGACTTCAACTCCCAGAATTACTCAGCCAGCTCAGTCTGGGAGTTGAAGTCCACAAGTCATAAAAGGGCCAAGTTTGAAGAACCCTGTTTTAAAAGATGCCAACTAATTGCAAGAAAACACTCAAAATCTCATAGCTGAAAAATAAATCTCCATTGAGTAGTGGGAAACAATTCCTCCTGATGTCAGTCTGATAGACATTTATAAGAAATAACTATTTGAAATTATTTCTGTCAGAGAGGTAGTACCTGCATTAAAGCCAAGAGTGTACTTTCTTTTTCCATAGAAAGAAATGGCATACCTGTTAAATTTTTGCTGAATAAAAAACTGCAAAAATAAATTTTTCATATCTTTATATAGTATTTGAATGAAGATAAAATAACGAAAAACAATTTTAGATAGGGTATACTTATTTTTTTGACATGACTATATTGAAATAGTCTCATAGTCTCTACAAGCTTTTAAAGCCAGAAGTATTACTTGACATGACTAGTTTTCACTGCTAGACTTCTGTTTGTGTAGAAATTGGTAGGTGCTTATTTGTTATCTCCAGTAAACTGTTGACCAAATTTAATACAGATCTAATGTATTTTTCTTTATTTCAGGTAATAATAAATAATGCTGCTGGAAATTTTATTTCTCCTTCTGAACGTCTTTCTGCAAATGCATGGAAGTCTATCACTGACATTGTTTTGAATGGTACTGCTTATGTAACTTTGCAAATTGGAAAAGAATTGATTAAAGCCCAGAAAGGTAAACTGAGATTGATAAACATCACTTTTTTATCACTGAATGAAAGTGACATCTATGTTTATTTCCTTGCAGATGTCTGGAAATTTCAGTTTTTAGTATAGTTCATTATTCTGAAATAGGCCTCATACTTTGTTAGTTTAATAGCAAACTCTTTTGGGAACACGAGGCAACTTTTTTTACTTGTCCATCTTCTGGAGAAAAAGAAAACAGCTACTTTACAGTCATCAGATACCAAAGGATGAGCTGCTGTAAGCCTCTTGCCATTTGCTATACATTTCAGATACAGTAAATGTTGCTTGTAGATATAAATTATGCAAACTATATAGACATTTTATGGAATGTTAGGGAGTTTTCACAGAACCTTTGTAATAAGATTATTGAAAATGACTATCACTTGTATGATTATCTGACTCCTACAAAACATCTTGGCTTTGTTTCTGACACTACATAAGCCAAACAAAACAAAGGAAATATCTGCAAGACTTTTATATGGCTGCTTAAACATTATTTTGCAACTTTTTTGCAACATTTGTAAAGCACATTTTTTAAAAATAAGATCATTAATTATGCTAGATATTATCTACAATTTAATTATATGTCATATATTTTCTCTTTAACTTTATATTGCCAGTAACATGTTCAACATGTTCTTATTGCTTAATGTGGAAATGTGGTCAAAGATATGCTCTGTTTCTGTTTTATTAACAGTTGGTCAACAAAACTGCAGCCTTTGGAACTGAGCTGCAAAGTAAAGAAATAAATATATATTAATTCATTTATTTGTCGAATAATGGTGGCTTATTTGCAAATCACAAATAATATACAAATAATAGTTTTTACAATTATTAAGTATGTATCATCCCTTTCTGTTGCCAAAATAGTGCTGTCAACATGAGTATGAATTTCTTGTTTAAAATTGTATTCTTTCTTATTCTTTTTGAAATGGATGCTTTTAAAGTCTACAAACCAAATGGATGCTTTTAAAGTCTACAAACCAAAAAGCTGAAATTATTGCATAATGCGCATCTGTATGAACAGATACAACCACGTCTATAAAGATTTACATGTAAATGCTAGTATCTAGGTCTTCACTGATACGTCCTGATTTCTACAAGAAATATAAGAAAAGCTCAGTCAACTGTCAGGTCAAAAGTTATAACTTATGGCCCACATTTATTTTCCTGTATGTTTCAGGGGCAGCATTTCTGGCCATTACAACAATCTATGCAGAAAGCGGGTCTGGGTTTGTGGTGCCAAGTGCTTCTGCCAAAGCAGGTGTAGAAGCCCTGTGCAAGTGAGTACTACTTAAAAATGCATTACTTTTTCTTAATACCTTTGATTCTCTCCTTGAGAGGTAAATTTAGCTGTTTTACTGCTTCTCTTTTAAACCTTTGTTTTAGATCTGTCTATACTTTTCACAGAACTGTAGTCTGTGCTCATTTACCAGCCTTACATTTTGCTGCAGCTATATTAATGTTTGGATGCAGAATATTTAATCTCTGATTTCTAGGTCTCTTGCAGCTGAGTGGGGTAGATACGGCATGAGATTCAATGTGATTCAGCCAGGTCCAATAAAGACAAAGGTACATTATTACCCATTAAGAAATTAACTGAGATCTTTGCAGTGACCAGAAGCACTGCCCCACACAGGGTTTTATTTACCTCCAATTTTTGGCAAAACCGCGCCCATAGCAAGTCAATGGTTTGCTTAACATTGTGAATTTGCTTAACCACCACCAGCACAACAAAAGTCATAAAATTGGGTTGCTCAGATGAGTGACCCAATTTACAACCATCAAGAGTTAGAGTTGTGATAGGTTGTAACTCAAGGAATTCCTGTAATTGTGAGCGACCTTTTAGAAATAGAAATACTTTGGGAAGAGTGGAGCAGTGCTTCCTTGAGATCACATGTTTTATTTTACTGTTTGTTTGTTTTGCAAGGCACAAATCTTTTTGCTATAGCAATCATTTCCCCCCCCCCCTCTTTTTCTTCAGGGAGCCTTCAGCCGCCTGGATCCCACGGGGATATTTGAGAAAGAAATGATCCAGAGAATTCCTTGTGGTCGTATGGGAACTGTGGAAGAGATCGCCAACCTTGCCACCTACCTCTGTAGTGATTATGCGAGTTGGGTTAATGGAGCAGTAAGTTGATCCTGGGTGCATGAAGCTCACTGCTGCTGTTAGAAAAGTGTAATTACACACAAGTGTCACCTGATTCCTTGAAGGCATTTAATTCCAGCATTTTTACGGAGCTCTGTGAGCTTGATGAGAATGCTTTATGAATCACTCTTTAACTTTTTAGAAACTACCAACTACCTAGTGGAAAGAATGCTTTATGGGCAAATTTAGTACAGTTCAGTAAGTCACAGAAGTTGAGTACTTTAAAGGTATTTCTTCTTGTACAAAAGTTCTACTGAACTAATTCAGCTGATCATTTGAATTTCTTAATGAAACAACCTCTGCATCATTCTTACAGGTCATTAGAATGGATGGTGGTGAATACGTGAATATGGCTGGAGAATTCAATGAATTACGTAAGGTAATAATTTACAAGGAACACTTTGTAACAAAAGATTGCAAAATGGAAGACTCCATTGGATGTTTTAATCAGTTAATACTGCCCTCCATTCTGCTATAATTCCCATCATAGTTCTCGTTTTCCTCCCAATATCAGCTTTTGATGCTTGGTAAAAACATCCAGGCCTCATGAGGCTATTCCCACCTCTATCCACCCACTTTTAAGAGGTATTTTTCCTCTTAAAAAATTAATGTATTACTGTATACTTTTAATGGAGTACTAAGCTTAAGTCCCATTGATTTCACTTGGAAAACTTTGAGGATCTGTTCTGCTCTGAATGCAATTTAAGAACATTCTTCCTGGCTGGGTCATACCCATTATATTGACACACTACATGATGATAGTAGAAAATCGGCATCTCAACTACACTGTTTTCTTTTCTATGCTAGGTCACCAGTGACCAGTGGAATATCATGGAACAAATGATACGAAAAACAAAAGGCTCATAATTTACATTTTTATGTGACTTTTTATATAGCTTATTTCTAAAATGTTCTGTATTCTAGCAATAAAATGCACTGCTGCTGATAATTATCTGTATGTCCACGTGTATCCATTTTAAGTTCACAAATCACAACATTACATTCTTTAGAAGCAATATTTTAATAGGCATACACAAATTATCATATGTTAATTCATTCATAGTTTCTTTTCGTATATGGGTAGTGCTTGATTTACGACCACAATTCGGTCCAGAATTTCTATCATAAGTTGTTGAGGTTGGGCCCGATTTTGTAACAACTTTTAGACAGGCATTAAGCAAGCCACCATGGTCATTAAGCAAATCCAGCTTTCTCAAAGGGTGTTGGGTATTTTTTGCCAGAAATTGGCAAAAAAGGTCGCAGATCTTGATCACATGACCCCAGGATGCTGCAACCAGTCATAAATGTAACCTGGTTGACAAATGCCTGTTTTGCAATCAGGAGGAGTGGTGCAACAGGTATATGTGTGAGTGCAGGTCATCAATCACTCCTTCCAAAGCCATTGTAACTTTGAAACATTATTCAGTGAACAGCAGTAAATTGAAGACCTATTGTTTATGATCAGTAGTCTATCCTGAGTAACAAATGGATTTCTCACGTGATTGAATTGTCTAGAATCTTAAGATGGAACTTGCCTCTGTATTTGACAGTTTGATATCACAACTATACCATTTAATAATCAGATTTGTGAGATAGGGCACTATTTTTTCAGTCTACATTTGTACTAGGTGAAAATCGGACAGGTGTCCATAATTCTTCAGAAGGAATTGCATTTGAATTACAATTATAACATATAATTATTGTACCTATGGCATTGGTAAGAAAATATTTAAAAAACATACATTATAAAACATACTTTCTATTATGAAGAAAAATAAAGATATGTTTGCTTGGGCTAGAGGAAGAAATTGTGCCATTTAATAAAGGAGAAGAGGCATAGATTAAATCTGAATGCTCCTACATTTACTATAGAAATGGGAGAAAGAATCCTACCACTATTTTATTTTGACAATATTGGAAGGAGCAGTGTCCACTAGAGGGGACCATAACACAATATTCTGGTTATAGTTTGTATCACATTCTCCTTGACTTGAAAGTTTACAGACATTGCTCTGATTAATTCAGCACTCTGAATTAAATTCACATGCTACCTTGAGTTGATGCTGTTTCATTTTTTTGATGCTGATGATTATTGGAGTGCATCCTTGAACTGAAACAAAATTGCAAATGTTGGCATAAACATTTAATATGATCACATTTTGGAAATTATAGGAGTTCTCTTCATTTCAATTTGGCATTTAGGGTATTGGGGATAAACTGGATGACCCTGAAATCTGATGTATTTGCTGGTGTTCATTTAATGTACAACTGCTAATTCTAACTTTGTCACAGATTACTAAGAGCAGAATGTGGTTAGATAGGTGGGACCATATTCAGTTCTCAATAATTGATACTGCATTGTATGAAATAAACCAAATCATCCTTAAAAGACATCTGAAACTATTATACACTGACAGAATTTGGATCACATTCTTAATCAAGGTCAGTTGGAGACTTGGTGGCAGCATTCTCACATTCTCTTTCCTTTATTCGGATTGCTATAGTTTATTAAATTGTGCTAACCCACTTGATTTTTGCCATGATTTAATGTATCTGTACTACATAAACCCAGAAATAGATTAATTCCCTAAGCCAAATAAATATGTGAAAATCCAGCCTTAGAGCAGACTTGTTTTGTCTAGCTTGGCATTGTCTAAATAACAGAGAAACACGGCCTTTCTTGTGTTGTCAGATTGCAGTTTCCCTCACTTGTAGTCATCATGGCCAGAAATAGAAATAGAAATGTTTAAAGAACGCCGATGTATCCCCTTTATTTTAAATAGCTCTCCAGGGTTTCAGTTAGGAATCTTTTTCAGCTTTACCTGCTAATGCCCTATTTACAGACCTTGAAAATTTACCTGAAAAGCATGCTTTCTGTCACTAAGCTGTTTTCCTTGGATGACGTTGACATAAAATGGTGCTGGGAATCATTTTTGAGTGCGTAATTTATTTTCTTTTATGAATATGATAATGTGTTCATTTGACACCCAAGAACAGCAATGCAGTTGAAAAAGACTAGAGAGATGAGAGCAAATCTCATGGTAAACAATGTATCACTGTTACCTTTGTTTTCAGCTCCACTTTGAACTGATCACATTCATAGACTAAGATTTTTTTTCTTTCATGTAAAGAGTTGGGAGGGAACATCCAGGAAAATATAACATTTATCCTTGTGCTTTAATTTATAATAAAATATACTAAGATGAATTAGTAATTAATATTCATTGGCCTAATTTATGAAGATTCACAGCAGCTGCTCTATTAAATGCTAGTGGGCTTTGTAGCCCACACAGTATTAACAAAAATTAGGGCATGTATATTTAGATGCTTAATTATAGGTTCATCTTGAGTAACATTTGAGTCAGGATTGATATTTTGATCAACAGAAGTATTGATCCTGTATTAATAAATATCTACCATGGTAAATAAAAGGAATATCCTGTAAGACAAGCTTTTTCAAAAGCCATGATTATATATCGACTTATTGGTGTCTTATATAATTTACAGTTAGCTAAAATGATTTCACTGTAACTTTATCTCTTCACAGTATTACCAAATGCTAGTAATTAAACAGTTCCATAACCATATGAAGCTGCCTTCTGCTGAAGTGGTATGCAAATTCTTTGAACATGCAACAGCCCATAGAAGTTACCATTGTTTAAATGGTTAATGCTTGAAGTAGAATTAAGAAAATAGCCTTCTGACTTGATTAAGCAGTAACCTTGATGCAGTAATCTTTCTGATGAAGAAACACACCTAATCGTAGTATAAATTTAAAAAAAAACATACAAACACTTGCTAATTTTATCTCACTTGTATCAGTGAAATGTGCATTCTAGTTGTCATATGGTAGGAAAAAAATGCAGCTTTACATTATATTAAGTAACTGTCTTTGAAAGTATATTTAAAGGAATAGATTGATCAAGAAAGCATACAGTAATAAAAATAGATGTGTCACAAGTTAAATCAACATTAATACAGACTTGGGAATATTATCACATTTGTTTGGAAGATCTGACTGATGCAGTGAATAAATTTCAGCCGAGTAAAATACAGTTTCCCAAAATCTATTAAATGAATGTATGAAGATTTGATAAATAATATTTTAAATGTTTATATAATGCCATTTGAATTGATACGATTGAGAATCAGCCTCTATAGCTTCCTTTTGTGGTAAACAGATAGTACAGTGTACTTTCATTGGATTGTTACAAATAAATGACAAAACTACTCAAAATAATTAAATGGAAATTCTGACTAGGTATGTATAGAGTCAGACACAATGTTTGCTGTACTCCTTGAGTCATTTCTAGGTTAGGTACATGGATGATAATAGCAATTTTATTTGCACTGCGTATGCCTCAACCACGTACAAAAATTAGGAGATAAATTCACTACCTCTTGTGGAGGATAGGAGGGTTTGGTGGATTTGGAAAATTAGCTGGGTTGTGGGCTGATCCATATGATTGTGTAGCCTTTATTTTAGAACAGAATATCAAACAAATTGTGTACCAGTATATTAGCATATTAAATTTAATTATAGATTACACAGAATGATGTAAAAACAGCAGTTTGCAAGAGTTATATTATGCAAAATGTGGAAATAGTTTTAGAAAAATGGACTGACATTCTCTGATATAACACCATTTACAAATGCTAAAGATTGAAAGTAAAAATATGAGGCAATTTTATGTATTAATTTTTAACTGATTAGAAATATGCCATTTCTCCAGTAAAAATACAATGTTGTTCTTGCCAGGCAACAAGGAAGCTTAAAAACTCATCAGGAAGTTCAGCACCTTCACATCCAGAGCCTCTGTTGACCTTGGTAGTGAATTTAAAGAAGCTAGAAAGCATTTATAACATGTTGGAAGTTGACCTGATCAAAGTAATCTAAAGCACTGCTGATGTTTCTATGCCCACATCCTTTCTCACCTGAAACTGGTTTGCAAATAATGCACTTCTTAAATATTTCTCAGTGGTTTCAGACAGAGGTGACTAGTCTTTTTGGATTGATTGACTTACAGTACACTTGACAAAAAGGCTAACCATCACTTTCTAGAAGATGACACCACCAAGAGATTCTGGTGGATCCCAACAGCCTCCCTCCTATCCATGTCCTACATTCCTTTACAAGAAAGGAAAGAAAAATAAAAAGAAATCCACCATCATCCTAAACTGATTTTAAATGTGTGTTTCTTTCTGACATTGTCAAAAATCTATTTGCTTAATGGAGACCGAGCCAATACCAATCTCCGCTGTGCTCTTCTCCCATGTCTCACAAAAACAAAGCCATGTTTATTGGTAAATGTATTGACAGACTGGTCCAGGTAATTAAGACATCCTCTTTAGTTACAAAAGCTGTACATTACGAACATAGTAGAAACAAGCTGAAAAGAATGTGCCACATGACCTGGCTAATCATCTATCTGCAATTTTAAATTTACAAAGTATAAAAGAAATAAAGCCTACTCTCTTATAATGCACAGTTAATTTCCTTTTTTGTTTTTTAAGATACAATATATTACTAGTTGGAGTGGAAATGAGGACAGACTCTAATTTTCCCCAGCGCAGAGGATGAGACCAAGTTCTGTTCTGTAAAGTTTTCCTCCATCAGACAAGGCCATAATGTTCTTCTTGTAGGTTGCAAGGTTATTGATATCTAATTCCTGTTTTTTAAAAAAGAAAATGTATTTTAAAGTCACTAGATATTCCTTTCGACTTGACATCCTCCAGTAGTGTTGAATTGCATTTCTCACATTTACACTGAGGTGGTTGGGAACAGGAACAGTTGTTACCAAGCCATTTGAAAGGAGTTGATTTAGAAAAGTTTGGGAGTGTGAGAAGCAGTGTGTATTTCTGGGGTTGTGTTTATGTGTTGTGCTAAACTAAATTACTGTTTGCTTTTTGTGTAGTTATGATTTAAACAATTGCATATTATAATACCTGCTTTATGGTTTAGTGCAGGCATGTCAAACTGCCGGCCTGTGGGCTGGATGTGTCACGCCAAAACCACGCCCACACCATTGCCGGCAATGGGGGAAAAGTTGCAATATGTTGCGTGACATTACAAGTTTGACATACCTGGTTTAGTGCAATCTATTAACCCAGTCAACTGTGTGTTATTAAAAAAACAGTTAAAAATCCCTACTGTAAGCATAATAGTCCTTTGGCAGGTGAGGATTATGTATTTATGTATTTGTTTACTTTTTATTTGTCTCTCAGGCATCACAGTGGGCATAGCCAATGATGTGCCACTGAATGAGAAGGGTTGAATTTCTGGGCTGGGACAATCAAATCAAAACATTTGTGGTAAACCTAATAAAGCTTCATGCACACATTTTTAAATTTATTTTTGCAAAAGAAAATACCTTTGGGGGGGCAAAGAGCAAAAAAAGCATTATTTTACTGCAGAATTTTGGTTTGGGAAGCTATTGTCTATGGGATGCTAACCCTCACCTTAGCAACCTATGTGAATCCTGCCCCAGGAGTGGCATTGTACCATATCAACAACTGTGTTTCCATTCTTTTGTCACTAAGTGCATATTCCCTACCATTTTACTATGAATTAACTACCAGGGGTATTGCTAGATATGGACTTCTTGTTTGACATTTATGGTCCTCTAAGGGAATATGGTTAATTGCTGCTCCCTGTGGGCTGTTTGAAAGAAAACAGTGGAAAGGGGTTTGAGAAGAGAGAAGCTATTTTTGTCTTTGTTAAGACAGAGCATTGTGTGATCCTTTTCAAATTCATTGTTAATAGGTATTCAGTTCAAAGAAGGAAGACGATAGGACAGCTACTCTACTTTCAGCCTGGGGACACATCTAAGAGAAATGGTGACTGTTTTGCTAAAGCAGTGATGCGAATAGAGTTAATGTAGGAGTAAACTGTGCTGTCTGGTATTACATATATGATTTCATTCCTTTTGTATCTAGAATTCTAAATATAGAGCATTTCAAAAGAATTTCTTGAACTGACTAGACTTTGAACAAGAAAAAGGCCCGTTAAGTACAATTTAAATGGAAATCTTAGAATTACCTTTTTATTCTTTTCACAGAGATCTTTTAGCAAAGCATCTAATTCCTGTTCATCTATGTAGCCATTCCCATCCTGAATAGAAAAAAAACAGCATTATTCATTTCTGCTGCTTTCATTGACTTGTTGCAGCTTAGAAATACATTGAAAACTTTAGTTCACAGACTTTATCTTAAAAAAAAAAGTCTACTTACTGAATCAAATGTATCGAAAACTTTATTAAATTCCTTTCCACACATTTTAACACCCTAATATTCAAAAGAAGGACAAATATTAGAACAGAAATGAATCAGGATATCAGTATATGAATATATAAAACACTTTTAAACTGGCATACCTGAAATTTAAGGAGAAAGTTTTCCTGTACTGGCAGTAACCTTGGGAGAAAACAAATTCAGAACAATTCCATAGTGATTAAACAAGCAGAGAACAGAGCAAAGCAAATTATTTCAAATCCGAAATGCTTTGAGCTTGAAACAACCCATATCCAGTTTGTTAGAGTTATTTCAAGTTGAAAGCATTAATGTTTCATTAATGCTTTTCCACCAGAAATTATTTCCAGCTCACACCACTTCTTCAGTGAACAGCTGGGTGAACTCAAAATTAAGCATTTCAAATTGAAACTCTTTCTAGGTCAAAATACTTTGTCTTTAAAACACTTTGTGCACATACACTTCACTCTCTTTAAAGATTAATAGATGCTGAGAAAGTCAAATGAGCTGAAATATCCTGTATTTTGTAGACAAATCCTTTGAGAAGACTTTTTTTAAAAAATGCCTGGCCAGTCACACTCTGAGCCCAACTCACCTCCAGGGTTGTGGGGACAATAGGAGGAGGAAGGTGTGTTGAATATGTTCATTGCCTTAAGTTATTCGTAATAATAATAAAGGGATACAAATAAACAAACTGCTGGGAGTAGAGGAGGATATTGCTAGCTGGGCCTACAAGTGTGGTCGTTTCTTCTCTTGGAAGCCCTCATTTCCTTCTTCTTCCCTATGTCAAAGAACAGTGCATGCAGACATTTGGACAATTGCTTGCTTGGGTTGACCTTTTCCACCCAAGGATGGACTGCTCAGTTTATCCTTGGAGGCACCAATCCAGCACATCCTATAGCACTGGCTGTGCACTTTGTACTCAGTACCAGCATTCCTTTTGCCCACTTGCATTGTGTCATGTTCCACAACCAATTGAGATTTTTTACTTTTTTCTCCAAATATTCTTACCGGGCCAGTTCTGTCAATTCCAGCTTTCCATCATTATTTTCATCAAACATCTTCAGCTGAAAAGGTAAAGTTATAGTCTATGAGAATTTTATTTTTTAAAAAACCAAAAGGAGAAAAGTTTGACTAAAAGCACAGGTCTCTCATATCTGGGAAATATGCTAACTCAATGAAACCCAGTAGCCCCCCCCCCCCATGAAGTCATTGTCACTCTTCAAATGTTTGGGTTTCAGGAGACCTTTTAATGTACTTTACTATATTATATTATATTCTTCAACAGCTTTTACATCAGCTTTTACATTTTGTTTTGATCAGGTTGGATTCCAAATCCTGGCATTGAGTTCTGCAATTAGGATTCATTTCTGAAAGCTTGGGAGACCTCCAGGAAAGTATAGAAGGTTATACAGGAGAATTGCTGGTTATCATGTTCTCCTCTAAAAGCCATCAGACCCAAAGTCATTCTTTACATAGAAAAATACCTGACAATTCAGTCTTTTAGACTGATTTTCTAAGACATTTTTCATACTGATTAAGAATTCTGAGCCACTTTAAGTATAGGTCCACAAAGGAAAGTTGGATAAAATTTAATATAAATGCTATACAAATGTTAGAATTAAAATGGTGGAAACTAAATTTATTATTTATCCCACCCACCCCAAAAATGCACAAGATGCACAATAACTGTTCTGTTTTCATTGTTCTAACTACAATGGCACTCCCCAAGCCCCACATCTCCAAACCCCACCTTCTGAGGCTGATTATGCAAAAATTTCCCAAGGCAATAGCAGTTCACTACAACATTAATGTAGTTGAAACTATGTTATGTACATGCAGTATATGGCATTCCCAAAACTCTCTTGAGTTTCAGTTCATTATCTCCAGAAGACTGAGAGCAGACTTTCCTAACATGATGTTAGGAAATTGTAGACAATTCTGTAAATGAAATCCATGCAACACAAATGCACAAAGATAATAGCGGATTGTTCTTGTACACACAAAATGGACCTGTTATAGGAATTTCTTCAGTTATTATTTCAGAGTTTTTTTATTGCCCATTCTTTATTTATGAATCCTATGGAGCCAACTAAATTGTAACTCAAAGGGTGAAGTGACAAAATCTAAATACATTTATGAGATATTATTTTAAGTTCTGTATGGGTATCTTAAAATGGGGTAGGGCAATTATTGTAATTCCAACAAAGAAATAGCAGTTATAGGTCTTACCATAATATCTGTGTATTCTGATAGTTTTGAATCATCAATCTGTTTGTTTGCTTTCTGTAGTAAATCTTTCAAAAAGTTCTGAAACAAAATTAATATATCAAAAAGCAATACTTTGATATGCTTGAAGAATAAAATCTTTTCCTTCTAGTTAATTATGGATAGAGAAATAACATTTTTCCTCATTATTCTATGAAAATATAAAAGCTATAATCCCAATTCATTCACGTTTGGGGGTAAGAATCATTGACCTTAATAGATCTTCTTTCTAAGTAATCATGGATTGCCCTATACACCTTTGAAATGCAAATGACAGGAGTATAGCGAGTAACAGTCATGCCAATTGAAAACTGAATCTGTCTCTTACATTCAAGATGGCTAGTCCTCTCAATGGGGAGGATCTACCTAGATTAGCCTGCATTATACCATAATTTAAATATAATGTATTAGCATTATATTACAGAATAATTCTCTGTCCAGCTAGCAGGCATAAGGAAAGCTTCTATTCCAGTTTATGTTAAGAGTGTCACAAGTTTGGAGCCACAGCTTCATTCCTCTGACCAACTGATAGGCCTGTTGGTGACTTCATGACTGTTGGTTGTTTTGTGATTTGGGGCTACTTGAAAATGGTTGGAAGTTTCTAAGAGTACAAATAGCTTGACTTATTTTTTTATAAGGACAGAAGCCAAATGTTAGGGGAAAGGGGATATGTGACTCATGTGACTAAGTAGTACTGCTTTAGCACTTCCCCATCAACTGGTCCTCAACTTGAAGTTAGAATTTTGTTTCCTAAACACAGTGCTTCTTTGAGTTCTAAATGTCATCATTTGAATGAGTTTAATATCCTGAATAGAGCTTTATGTAAGAATGGGACTCCCTTTGGGTAGGTGTATGCTGGGGAAGACTGAGACAAGCAGCAGGTGAGGTCAGAACTAATTTGGATAAGGTCATTTCTCATCAAACATTCCTGATTTTCTCTGATACTGACTTCTTCCAAGCAACAGGCTATGGGGAAAGGACATCAAGCCCTTAGGAGAACCCTTGGCCCTTCCAAAAGTATTTTCAAATTAGATCACAGACTATGAGTGACCCTAAGGCTACAGGCTTGCCATTCCTGATCACTCAGTTCTGGCAGTGCCTGTTCTTTCAAATGCAGGTTCCATAATTAGTTAGCAGAGCTGAAGTTGCTTTCCTGACCTTGCAAGAAAATTTTGTTTCCCAGATGGGCAGCCAGTTGCCCTACTTTAGTGACATGATAAAATTCTTTATTAAGGTAGAAGTTTTGAGAGCTGGGGAATTATGAATGCCTATCGCAAAAAAATCCCTACCTATGCTTGTTCTAAATTTCTTTCTTGGTATCATTCTTGGTATTATTTTTGCTTTTAATTGGAATGGGCACAAGTGGGAAAATGTGTAGGAAACTCAGCTGGGCTATTCTAGGTTGCTCATGTTTTAGCTAAACAGAAGCCTAGAACATTTTTATTATTCTATCTGAGAAAACTATGAAATGTTTTAAGATCAAATAAGGCACATAATCTGTATGACTTTCCTTAGATTAATTCAAAACATAATCCGTCCACTTCTGCAATCAGCTGTCACTGCTCTATTTATTTATTCATTCATTGAATTTATACGACTGCCCATCTCACAAAACAAGTGACCTGGGATGGTATATAATAAAAGTATAAAACAGTAATATATTTTTTAAAATATCCAAGAAACAAATTGCTATTAAATTGAGGGCAGCCGATGCCAACTACGATGGAACTTCCTCAGTACCTCACTCGTCCCCTGGGATATCCTGGCCTGATAGCATAACCTAGTTTTGAGGGACTTCCATATATCAACAGGGATGAAGCTGGCCTCACTTGGTCCTGCCAAGTGCACCTTCCTAGCAGATGGGATCCATAATATACCTCTTCTGCTGGATCTGATGATAGTTGTATGTCTATGCTTAGAAAAAAAAATTCTGTAACCCTTCTTAGTATAATAGTCATCCATTATTGAAGAAGTTTATGCCAGTTGACATCTATTAAAACCCTATCTATATCTCTTGGCTTTATCTCGGTTAGGACTTTAAGAAGTACTATGATGCATGTAGTTATATTTGATTTTGTTAATTTTATAACTTACTCTCTTTATCAGTGTTTTATTATATATTTGTTGTTTTAAATTTAGCTGAAAGGCTAAACACATTTAGTAAAAATAAATCAGTTCCTAGATTGTACTGCTTCGGGCTCCAGGAATAAGTAATTACATAGATGAATACCTTATCTTCACAGAGAAAGAAGTATTTCTTAAGAAATTTAAGCTAGGGCTTTCTCCCTAGTGTTTAGCTTTCTGTTTTCCCATACAATGTTTATTCCTGCAATCCAGTCAGAACAATGGTACAATCCAGAAACAATAATCTGTAGACATTCATGGGTTGCAAAACTGGTTTCAGGGAGGTTATATATTCTAAAAGAAATTTGTAGTTGTATTCTGTAAGTTTTCTTCTTTGGAATTATAATTTTTAAATGTTGCTGGCATAATGTACTTGGAATAGAAATAGCACAGTAAATTAAACTCTTTGATCTTTACAGCTATGTTGTACAGTCTCTACTTTTAAAGATTTGTTTATTTTGTTGCTTTATGCAAATACTTTTGATGTAGAATACCCCAAATATCTAAAAAATGATTATATAGATTTTTTACCTTAAGCTCTTCAGCATCAATATATCCACTATGGTCACTATCATATTTTCGCCACGTCTGAAATTAAGAAAATAGCAACTGAAAAAAATGCATACATCCATATGCAAAGTTTTGCACCTTGCCAATGCAATTTTTCACAAGCGAAAATGTATGTGGATTACCTGCATGAAATCTTCACTAGATTTCAGCTGTTGGCATCTAAAAAATAATAGGAAGTTTTCTTCTGTTGGCAGTATCTGAGCAAGCTGAAGAAAAAAAAAACTTCTATTTAGAATTATTTTTCTAACTAGAATAAAAATATAATTTACTGCACTATGTTTCCAGAAGGAAATAAGAAACATTTGCATACAACTGATTAGTAGTTTGTAAATATCAGGTACAATCCATGAATAATTTATTGTGTATCCAATACATTGAACTATCACAGCACTAAACTGGAAAAAATGGAATGGAGTGGAGTGCAATGGAGTGCAGTGGAGTGGAATAGTGAATAGAACAGAACAGAGGAACAGAACAGAATAGAATAGAATAGAATTCTTTTTTTGGCCAAGTGTGATTAGACACACAAGGAATTTGTTTCCAATGCAGTGTACATACAAACAACAAAGTGATAAGTTTTAGATCACAAATGATAAAATGATAGAAGTCGTAATGTGATTAGTTTTGTTTTGGCTTGGTGCAATATGTGTATTTAGCCTTTTCATTTTATAAGTGGCTAGCAGTGATATGTGAGCTAGCCAAGAGTCTTTAGTCTGTTGATCCATCCTACACGTTCCTACAAAATATTTAAACCAGTAATCTTCCTTTCTAAATTTCTCAAAATTTCAAATGGCTGATTATTACATGCTAGTGAAATCTTAATGTTGTAAATATGTTTTATTGTTAAGAGAAGCAAAATAACTTTTCATATTGATTTGTAGATGAGAAAAGGATCCTCCAATCACCCAGATTAGCTTTGTTTTTTAAAAATTGGGGCCTTTTCCACTAATATTTTCAAATTTCAATAAGCTTCAGATAAAGAGGGGAGAAAGATTCTCCATTGTATTCCATGTTTTTCTTTAAATTATACAATTTAAGGGGTGGAGTACAGCTTCATAAAAAAACAGTGGGAGGAAGGAACAGGAAATTGACTTTTTAACAGTGGAAAAATGAAGAAAGGATGGATGAAGTGACCATCATCTAGAAAAAACAGTAACAAGAGTCTGAGAAGAGAAAAGTAGTGCATTCAAGACCTTTTCAAAGGAGTATTTGCCTTTGGCTTATTTTCTTATAGTACCATCCAAGGAAGTGTTCTACTTTCAGAATGATGAGGTATATCAATTATTTCAATTCAAGATAGAAAACAAAGTCAAAATGAAATCTGAAGAGTAATGTTAATATTTTGAGCTCCCCCCCCCATTGAAGGTACTAAGCCACTGACCTCAGTGGATAGCCCTTCCTGGGGAAAAAAACCTATATAAGATAACATATAACAGAAGAAAGGTAGGCAATAGAATGAATGAACCTTCTGCTAATAGGCATCTTGGAATCTTAAAAAACCTTGCCCATCTCCAGGACTAAGCAGGAGATCATCAATCTTTTGATATTTTATGATTTAGGTCAACTGCTAGGCTAGACCTGGTAGAAGACTCGAAGTCAGTGTGGCTAGAGAAATATTGTATTGCAGACTATCATGAAGCTATACAAAACATTTGATTTATGGCAGTAAGAATGTGCAAATGACTCTTATACACACTGTGGCTTCAGTTCAGTTCTTCCTCCTGCACTTCCCATGAATTAACAGATTCTTGACATGATGCTTGTTAGCCTTGAAATCAACCAATACAATCCCTGTCCTGAGAACTGTCTTCAGGTCTAGATCAAGTCATTCAGTGACGCTATTTCAAATTGTGAATATTTTCTGTAACAAATGTATTTTTTAAGTGTGACTTTGGAAAATACCTCCCATAGTGAATCTGGATATTTTTTCAGGAGTTGATTTCCAGAAATGTCATGGAATACTTGGATAAACCTTGGTCAGCATTGTATGGCTGGGATCAGAAGCTTATTTTTCTTTCAGATGTTTTTAGACTCCAACTATTATATCAACAGTTGCTGTGGTGCAGCAGCTGCTGAAGGACTGTAGATCCCTTATTTTGTCATGCAGCAATGACCAAAAGATGAAATAGATCCTCAAGAAGGGACACAAACTTTGTAAAATGGTCTGTTTCAAGCCATCTTGTGGTCTTGAGAATATCATATGTCATGATTATTGCTGCAACCTGGATACACATCTAGCAAAAATGGTCTTACATCTTTCCATCGTTTATCAGAAAATAATTCTAATCCTCTTAAATATTCTCTCTCCTCTGGATTTCTTTAAAAGACTCACTTTCTGTTTTTGCTTGAATAAAGCAAATTCCAAAGCAAACTGTTGTACTTAATTGGGGAGCATAGATTTAAATTTAGGCTGATCAAGATATGATGAAAGCTTCAGTTGCACTAATATTTTGATAGGGAGTAAATGATATCAATCTATCCTCTTTTAGTTTATGATGAAATATTAGTAATGTCATTGCTAAGTTACATGAATGGCAAATAGAGACAGTATAGCTAAGAGTTCACAGAGTTTGCTCAGAGGCATTGACTGAATATATATCAGAACAAATTCAATCTACCAGCACTCCACTACTATTTTATAAAATTATCTCAAGATGACATGCAAATGACAAATGGATTCACTTCAGAATGGGGCCATCCACACAGGAGAAAAACAGATGATATAAATGGTACCCCTTCCTTTCCTCAGACTAGAGAACTATAATCTGATTGGGCCTCAAGACTTCCCCTGCAAAAAAGGTGGCTGTATAACATTTTGTAGCATAGTATTAACAACCATTGTAAAATATACATGTATTATATGGATATCATATATAACACCGTAGTCCGCAAACTACCCTGAGTACCAATTTGTTTCCAGGTCCAATTCAAGGTGTTGGTTTTCACGTATAAAGCCCTACATGGCATAGGACCAAGTTACCTACAGAACCGGCTTCGCCCAATCTCAGCAGCTGGTCTCGATCAGGCAGGGAAGATATGCTACAGACCGCGTCAGTCAAAGAATTTTGACTGGTGGGGTCTAGGAAGAGACCCTGCTATGCCGCTGCCCTCTGCTTTGTGGAACATCTTCCTCCCAGAGGTGAGGAAAATCCCCCAATCTCTTGGCCTTCCACAACCATGGGGCTGGCTAGTCCCTTGAGAGTCCCCCCCCCCCGTCTGTAATACTCCATCTTAGGATTTCCCCCCTTTTGGTGTTTAATTGCATTTTTTCATACTTTTGAAATTTTTTACCCTAATTTAATTTTTAATTTCTAATGTTAATTTTTATACATTATTTTATTTATTGGTTATGTTATATTGTACACCACCCAGAGCCCATTTTTGAGGGAGATGGGTGGTTTATAAATATGAAATATAAACGAAAAAACAAATAAATAAATATCATATCATGTTTTGTGTCTCTGCACAGCTATAACTGCACAGCATGTAAATTAATGCAGAATAAGAATCAATCTTACCTCTACAATTCCTATTTTTCCATCAGAAGTCTTTGAAAAGTGGTCCACAAAAGTTTTCATTTCTGGGGTTAAGCCCTGTAAATAAAAAGCATGTTGATTATCTTTTTTAGGCACAGACAAAAAGGAAGCAAGACCACAATCCATCCCATAAATTTTGCCCATATTGCAAAGCACTGAATTATTGCAATGCAGAATAGACAGACCCTGACCTCTAGACAGAGGTCAACCTCATTAAAAAAGAAAAGGTGCAGCCTAATTCATTAAGAATAGTCACATTAAGAGGCGTCTTGATAAAAAAAACTAAGTTCATGGATGCTAAGAAATGAATTTATAAAATAAAAAATCTCTGATTTTTATTAAATTTCAGATTAAGATTGAAATATATAAATAAATCTATGACTTAAAAAAAATTCAGGATTCTTGTTCTATCTAGCTATAATGAACATTAGTCACTACTCTGTATTCTTGCCATTTTCACACTTTTAGGGTGTTTCCTTTAAAAGAACTATTTTTGCCTCTTGAGAAAGTATGTGAAAAGCTTTCCAAAAAAGGAGATCTACTCTTTATACTGAGTGTTCAAGAAAAGGTGATCTACTCCTTCAGTCATATGTACTCAATCAGGAGTATGCAGAAATAGGTGACAATATCCATTCAGATATACTTCTAAATGCACATAGCAACACAG